ATCGGCTTTGTTTTTGCAGATGTGCTGTGGGAAACAAGATGTGGCTTGATGAGGGTGCTTTAATCATCTGCTGGTGATCCTTATCAGTCCTTTCATGCCCTGTCTTTGGCTGGATTATTTTTCTTTACTCCCATTTAGGTGAGCGCTATGCACATGATTTCAAGACGTTTCTTATCCCTGCCGTCCACTCGAATTGCCTCCCCCTCTCCTTTGATAGACATCTCTTTCCCTGAGGACCCCTCGCCGGCGGGAGAAGAAATCTGACTGTTACAAACTGCTGCCGATGGTGATGATCTCCCAGCGCTTGTTCGCCCCTTCTTGCTTTTCATAGTAGAACAACCCCATCCTGTCAAGGCTTGGCAGGCCACTTGGCTACCCAGCTAGAGACACCATTTCCTACCTTCTTTTACATCTAGGTGAAGCCTGTGCGATACGGGCAGAAAGAATATGTACGAGTGATGGGAGCTGACAAGACTGAGAAAACAAGACATCCATCATGTCTCTTCCAATGTGTTTCTTATTACTGGGCCACACTATCTAAAGGACACTGTGAGTTAGTATTCGAACACAAACTCTGTAATTATTCTGTGGAAAGCAATGACACCTGTTCTAAGTTTTAGTCATTTAAGTGTTAAGTGATGGGTCAAAGGAACGCACTTTGAATAGAATGCAGTTTGTATAACCCTGTTTTGGATACTGTCTATATCATTTTAACTGAGTCTTCAAGATGAAACAACACGAACAAGAAGCCAGAAGCACCTGACCTCTATCAACTTCTAGGAGGCCCTGTGGGGAACATGGGCATTTAACATGTAATAGACAAACGGTGTCTGCGAGGGAGAGAGAAAAGGAAATAATGGAGAGCCAGAAGGAGATTCAGGGGACTGTGGTTTCATGGAAGCTAAGGGAAGCCAGATTTTCAAAGAAGTGAACATGTCCTAATTAAACAGAAGAATATAATAAAGTAAGGACTAAAAGCGATTTAGCAATTAAGAGAAAATGACCCTTTGTCCTGGTTTTTGTATCTGTAAAATGGGTATCTTATTTGACTATCATGAGACTAAGTCTGCATAAAAACTTCCTTACTTTTTTCTTGAATTTAATTCAACATTCGATGACTACTAGTAAGGGAACCCTGTTAGAAGTTGGGGAGTATAATGATAGTGGACCCCACTTTAAAGCACTTGTTAATGGTGTAGAGTCAATACATGAACAGGCCAGTATTATTCCTTGTGATGGGTGATAGATTGAGAGGAAGTGCGTGGAGGTTACCTAATTCACACCTGTTAGTTCTTTGTTTTGGGTAGCTAAGATATAGAACATTAAGCCAAATTGGGGAAAAATTAAGGTAACAAGGTGTATTAGGTGCATGAAAAGTTCTCAAGTATTGAGTGCAACATTAGATAGTGCACTGTTGGTTTTTTATGCAAAAACTTTGTTTTTATGTAGCTATTTGAGGGAGAAACTCATCCACTCGCATTGCCACTCAGAACTTATTACCTAGTACTTTAAAACAAAAAAACTATAGATAATTTTAATGGGCAGTTTGTTAATTTATTTCCATAGTTCTTCAAATATGTCAAGGGACATTCATTTATACTCACAATACTTTTTTATTAATTGAGATTAAAGAAAAATTTCAAACATGAAAGTTGTCTTTTTTATGAGTTTTTACAAAAAAAAATTGTAGAAATACATGCACACATCCCGCATTTTATTGTGGTTTTCTTGATTGCATTTTATAGCTATCCCATTATTTCTTTACAACTGGAAGTTTTGTGGCAACCCTGCAAATCAACAACATGTACTGCTTTTGTGTCTCTACATCACTGCTAGTAATTCTCACTGTAGTTCAAAACCAAAAATCCAAATCACTGCCATGGAATTGATGCAATGGGGGTCTACACACGGAGCTGTTAGCCTCAAGATCAATGGTTGGTACCCACCAGCTGCTCTCAGAGAAAGATGAGCTGGTTAATGCCAGTAAAGATTTGAAGGCTTGGAAACCCAAAGGGGCAATACTGTTGTTCGTAGGTGCTGTGGAGTCAGTTCCGACTCCTAGCTGCCCTAGATCCCACAGAGCAAAACATCACCGAGTCCTGTGCCATCCTCACAATTGTTCTTACGTTTGAGTCCACTGATGCAACCACGATGCCAAGATCTTCATCTTGTTGAAGATCTTCCTCTTTTGCACTATCTTGCTAACTTACCAAGTAAAATGCCCTCCTCCAGGGCCTGGTCTCTCCTGATAACATGTCCAAACTATGTGTGATGAAGTCT